CACTATTAACACACAGCTGAAGGTCAGTCTCTTTATGTTTGTATTAATCATTTATATGAACTTTTCTTTCCCACGTAAAAAGTACCAAAGTATTTATGAACTTGCATATGTGTATTTATAGATGTCTATGATGGGCATCCAGTATGTGGCCACAGCCAACTGGACACTTTTTAAGTTCATTCAGTAAATTTTTTGGGCCTCTTATTGTGAGCCAGGTCTGCTTCTAGGAACTTGGAGATGTAGAAATAAACAATATGGACAAAAATCTCTGCTCTCATGGAGTTCTAGTTTGAGAGATAGGAAATGAAACAAGATAGAACTTATAAATATGTTAGAAGGATATAAGTGACAAGGAGAAAAAAGTAAACCAGGAAGGGGACTGTAAAATGTCATAGAGAGGGAAAACAGTTGAAATACTTTATTAGAGTGACCAGGGAAGACTTCATCAAGGAGTGACTTTAAAAAAATGATATAGAGGAAGTAAAGGAGCTAGCCATGAAGTTGGTGGAGTAAGAGGATTAACTGAAGGCAAAGGCCTTGAAAGAGAAGTGTCCCCAGCCTATTCTTCAGGTGGAGTAAGGTCAGTGTGGCTGGAGTGGGGTTAGTAAGTGAGAGCGTAATAGGAAGTGAAATCAGGGAGGGAGCAAAGGGCCCAAATTATGTGGAAACTTGTTGGTTCTAGTAAGGACTTAGGTTTTTACTGTGAATGAGGTGGGAAAACTTGGAGCTTTTTGAGAAAAGGAATGACATTATCTGGTTCAGGTTTTAACAGGATCAAGTTGGCAGCTCTATTGATATTAAATTGCAGGGAGACAAGGGTAGAGGCAGGAAGGTCAGTTAAAAGGCTATTGTACTTGTGATAGTTTGCTAAGAATGATGGTTTCCAGCTGCATCCATGTCCCTGCAAAGGACACAAACTCATCCTTTTTTATGGCTGCATAGTATTCCAGTATAATAATAATAAAAAATAAATTTATTAAAAAAAAGGCTATTGTAGTAACTCAGGCTAGAGATAATGGTGACTTACATTAGGGTTGTGCAGTGGAGGTAATGCAAAATGGTCAGATTATGGATATATTTGAAGATATAGATGACAGGATTTGTTGACAGATTGTGTGTTAAACAATGAGAAAATTAAAGAGTGAAACCAAAAAGATTAAGGAGTGACATCAAACTTTTTGACCTGAACAATGAAAAGGATAGACTTCCCATTGACAGAGATTGGGGAAGATGGCAGGAGGAGCTGGTTGGCATTTGGGAAGCATCAGGAACTGCCAAGTGTCTAATTTGACTTCCATGTAAAAATGTGAAGTTCACATTTGAACTTTGGTTCTGAAGTTTAGGGGAACAATCCTGGCTAGATACATTATTTGGTAGTCATCTATATATAGGTTGTACTTATAGTTGAGAAGTTTTTTGATGATTATGCAAATTATGGGAATAATTTCATGTCTTTGATAATGTGAGCTTGAAGACTTTTTATTTCAGGCTTTGTTGTAAACAATACCAGCAAAATGGAGTTTGTATTAAACAAATATCAGGACACACATAAAAATGTCCTATAAGTGATTTCAAGTGGTATGTAGTAAAGATATGCCAAGAGGTACCGTTCGAGGGGAAAGTGATCTAATACATACCATGGGCAGAATACTCAGATCCAGGTATTTCAGTGACAGTTTTTTCCCTGGGGAATCTGTTTCCATGAGATTAGGTAGATGAAAGGCAGACCTGGGACTAGAAGCAAAGTATGTCTGATCCCAAAGCTCATGCTCTTCTTACTTTGCAGCACACAAGAGAGCGTGAGCTGTCGACTTCCAACAGCAGTCATGGTTCCACTGAATTGCAACGTAGTATAAAATTAAGCATTGGACTAGGGTTTTTAGAGCTGTGTTTGAATCTCAGATTTGCTAAGTCAAATGATTTTGGCAAGCCTTTTAAATTCTCTGGGCATTAGTTTTCTCTTTTATAAAAGAATTGTAATTAAACCTACCTCATAGGGTTGTTACAATGAACACATGTGAAAGGCTTTGTAAACACGAATGCAATCTATGCATAATATGTTATACTAGGGAAAATTTGATTTAAATAGCATCAAGAATCAAATGCTTTGGAATAAATTTAACAAAAGAAGTGCAAGATGTATACATTGGAAACAAATTAAAAATTGCTTCCTTTAAATGGAAAGACCTCTCATGTTTATGTATTAGAACAATTAATACTATTAAGGTGACTATTACTCCTCAAGTTGATCCACAGATTCAATGTGATCTCTATCGAATTTCCAGCTGGCCTTTTTTTAAAAAAAAAAAAAATTAGAAATTGACAAGCTGATCCTGAAATTCATATAGGAATATATGGGACCCAAAATAGCCAAAACAATCTTGAAAAGGAAGAACGAACTTGAAGAACTCACACTTCCTGATTTCCAACTTATTACAAAGCTACAGTCAATACAGTGTGATACTGGCATAAGGATAGACATATAGACAAGTGGAAGAGAATCAAGTGTCCAGAAGTCAAACCTTACATGTATGGCTTATTGATTTTCAACAAAAGTAGCAAGACAATTCATTGAGAAAAGAAGTTTTTTCAACAAATGATGATGGGAAAACTGGAGATCCGCATGCAGAAGAATGAGGTTGGCTCCCTATTTCATACCATAACAAGAAAAATCAACTCAGAATAGATCAAAGGCTTAAATGTAAGGGCTAAAATGATAAATCTCATAAAGGAAAACATAGGAATAAATCTTCATGACCGTGGGTTAGACAGCAGTTTCTTGGTTACCATACCAAAAACACAAACAATGAGAAAAAATAGATAAATCAACTTCATGAAAATGAAAAACTTGTGCTGCAAATGATACTATCAAGAAAGTTAGAAGATAGTCTACAGAATGGGAGAAAATATTTGCAAGTCATATATTTAATAAGTATCCAGAATAGGTAAGGCTTTGTAAACAATACCAGCAAAACGGAGTTTGCATTAAACAAATATCAGAACACACATAAAAATGTTCTGTAAGTTATTTCAAGTGGTATGTGGATAAAGATATGCCAAGAGGTGCCATACAAGGGGAAAGTGATCTAATGTTTGCAATGGGCTGAGTACTTAGATCCAGGTATTTCAGTGCCAGTTTTTTCCCTTAGGAATCTGTTTCCATGAGATCAGGTAGATGAGAGGCAGACCTGAGACTGGAACCAAAGTGTGTCTGATCCCAAAGCTCATGCTTTTCTTAGTCTGCAACACACAAGTTAAGAGAGTGTGAGCTCTCAGTCAAAAATAAAAAGATACATAACTCTAGTTTAAAAATGAGCAAAGATATGACTGGGCATTTTCCCAAAGAAGATATAAAAATGGCCAATCAGCACATAAGATGTTTAAACACCATCAGTCTCTTGGGAAATGCAAATTAAAACCATAGTGAAATATCGTTTAATACTTACTAGCCTAGGATGTCTAAAATAGACAGATAATAATAAGTGTTGAAGATGTAGAGAAAGTGGAACCCTCAAATGTTGGTACGGGGAATATAAAATGGTGTAGCCCCTTTGGAAAGTAGTCTGGCAGCTAATCAATAGGCTGTTACCATATGTCCTAGAAATTCCTAAGTATATGCCTAAGAGAAGTGAAATCATACATCCACACAAAAACTTGTATGTGAATGTTCAAAGGAGCAATACTCATTAGCCAAAAAGTGCAAACAATACAAATGTGCATCAAATGATGAAGAGATAAATAAAATATGATGTATTCGTACAATGAAATATTATTTGGCAATAAAAAGGAACATGTACTGATTCATGCCGCAACATGGGTGAAACTTGAAAACATTACACTGGGTGAAAGAGACCTGTTCCAAAAGACCACCTACTATTTAATTCCATTTGTATGAAATGTCCAGAATAGGCAAATCTATAGATTCAGAAAATAGACTCATGGTTTCCTGGGGCTGAGAGCAAGGCAGGAAGGTGGGGAATGACTGCTAATGAGTATCGGTTTCTATTTGGGGTGATGAAAATGTTCTAAAATGGATTGTGGTGCTGGTTGCACAACTCTGAGTATACTAAAAACCATTGAATTGTGTATTTTAAATGGACAAATTCTGTGGTAGATGAATTATATCTCAACAAAACTATTCAGAAATATTATTAGGGATGCTGTCTGTGGTTGTATTGGATTTTTTACTCAGTTAAACTAAATACTCAGTTTTAGTGACTGATTATCTTTACATTATTCTGAATTGTGTTGTGTGAACCAGTCGAGACTAATAACCTAGTAGCATTTCCTTAACTTTAAAGCTAATGTAAAATGAAGATTTTTGTGTAATGCCCAAATTTTTGGATTCCAGATCCCGGTGACATTTTTCAGATCTATATCCTGTTTCCCAAAGTACTGTACTGTATTGGATAAAAAATGCAGCCTCCTCCTTTACTCCCTCCCTCCCTTTCTTCTTTCCTCCCTCCCTCCCTCCCTTTCTTCTTTCCTCCCTTTCTCCCTTCCTCCCTTCCTTAAGAAAATGGGGTTTCACCATGTTTCCCAGGCTAGCTGGGCTCAAGTGATTCACCATCTTGGCCTCCAAAGAGCAAAGATTACAGGCATGAGCCACTGTGCCCGGCCTGTTATCTCCATTTTACAGATGAGGAAACTGAGTCAGGTAACTTGCATTATGTAACTTTTGAATGATGAAATCAGGATTGAAATTCAGGTTTCTAAATTTCATATCCCAGTACAATCTAGGTTGATTTATGGGAACACCTCCTTCAATCATCTCTGGTTCCTTTTTTTTTTTTTTTTTTTTTGCACCTGGTTGCAGGAATATTGCAAAACTCCAGTATGAATCATCTCTCCATATGATAAATTAGGTCCTCAGATCAAATCCCCCAGGTTACAAGTTTATAATTTTAGGTGTTAAACATATAATAGGTTTCTCGTAGCTTATCTGAGTGTCAGTATGAAAAACTAACACCTTTATTTTTTCTTCTGTTTTTTACTTGCAGCAATGGTGAACTAGACCCCTGGTCAGGAGGTGGAGTAACTAAGGATATCACAGACACTCTGGTTGCAGTCACCATCTCAGAGGGGGCCCACCACTTAGATCTGCGTGCCAAGAATGCCTTAGATCCCACGTCTGTGCTGTTAGCCCGTGCCTTGGAAGTCAGACATATGAAGAATTGGATCAGAGATTTCTATGACCATGCAGGAAAGCAGCACTGAGAAACTTTTGATTGTTTTCAGTTTCTTCTTTTATGTTCTCACCACCACATTCCCATTCACTTTGGTTTTCTACATGTAATTACCTTCTCTTGTTTATCATTAGATTTGATGGGCCAAGGTTGAGATAGAATAGAGGGTGATGACGGTAAGAGCAACTGTCCCATGAATGTGATTTCCTGGGTTCTCACTGTCTTCGCACCATGTCTAGGAAGAATCTTCTTGATAACTCTCCCACACCATCAGTGGCCTTCATAACTGGAGCAGAGCTCCTGATTGCTTTTCATAAGAGGGAGAGTTACTTTCTTTGTATCTCTGCAAGCAGAGATTTCTCTTTGGCTTTGAGGTTGAAGTCTCTTTAGCCCATTTGTAAGTCCCCATCCCTACCCTACACAAAGTAAAAGCAGAAGATAGATTTAAAAAATGATGTAATTGCAGCTGGTAGGATGTCTGGTGCCAATCCAGGAAGTGAGAGCCATTTCTTTTGTACTGGATTTAATGACTTTGAACTGTGCTGTAAATAAAGAATACAGCTGGACCTTATACCTGTGTATTGCTTCTGAAGCTCACTCTGGCTCCGGCTGTTGGGAATGCTGTGTGCACTGGGCTTAGCTGGTTTTGGAAAGTCCTTTAATTTTTTCTCTTCCACTTGGCAGCTTTTCTTAGTTCTGGGATGTTGGCCACTGTGGTACTGCCAGTAAGAAATCTGGCCTTTTTCTGCTCCATTTCTCTTTGTTTCTAAGGTCAGTTTTGTGGTAATTTGGTTGAATTCTGCCAGTTTAGGAAAATGACTCTGTTTTGTCTTTTTAAATCTGAGCAAGCTTTATGCTGTAGTCACTAATTATATTTCAGTAAGAAGCCTTTAAAAATTGATGAATCAGCTGTTCCCAAAGTAGAATATAGTAATATTCAGCTTTTAAATTTTTACAATTTTATTTTCTGATAGTTGTTACTGCTGTCATTAAAACCAGAAGTGTTAGACACTAACAGGCAGGTGCACGAGAACTTTTCTGTATGACTTCCAAAAGACAAGCTGACTAATTCATGCAGGCAGCATATTTGACATTAATAAATGGCCAAGCCATTCCTATTTCCAAGGGGTTGGCTTCTTTCAAGCAGTTCTTACACTGAGACCTTTCTTCAGAAGGGCTTTTCTAGGATAACAAATAGGGTTGGATCAAAACCTTTCAGGGACACAGAGAGACAGAGAGAGACAGACTAACAGTTTCTACTCTGTTGAAAGATTTCTTCCTCCTTGTTTCTTTTCATTTTCTCTCAATAATTTTTTTTTCTTCACACTGCCTTGGGAACATTTTCTGCTTTTAAAAAACTGTACCTTGAGCTTGATCATTTTTAAGGCACTTTTTTTTTTTTTTTTAAGTATAGATATAGAGTTCGTTCTTGGGATGGAAGGCTGAAATATTTCCTTCACTTTCCCTGGCATCTGGGAGATACAGGAAAATCTTTGTCTTATTTTGGAAGGCTTTAGTTCTCATTGTAATGAGTTGTCTATCAAAGCATTTGGTTACTATTTTTGTTTCAGCATCAGAGAACAATCTCTTTGGGTGGGAATTTAAGGGCCAAAACAATACTGGGTTTTTTTCTTTGTCAACTAAGAAATTATATAATGCAGGGTTTATGGGCTTAATAGAGGATATTCTTACAATTTATTTTACAATTTTAGGGGTTTTTTCCTTGTGTCAAATCTTTAAAATACTTTGCCATTTTATTTAATATTGATTGTTTAGATGAGTTACATTATTCTGAAGAAACAAACTGCAAAAAATAGAATTTTTTGGCAAGCATAATTGTATCCTATTACTGTACGCATTTTAGGGATATAGATAGCAGTCTTAATTGAAGTGAGTACAGTTATAATATGCTAAAGTTTAATTTTAAAATGAAAAAGAATTGGAGTGTCAGATAAGCCTTATTATTTAAAGCATCCCTCTAATAAAACTGCACTTTTTACCGACAGGGAAAGAGAGACATGGAGACTTGAGTGCTTTCTATTTTTATTTTTTTCAGCTCCCAAGAGCTTAGAAAGAATTTCTCCTAAAGAAATTTAGGAAAACCTTCTTAGGGAATCTGTAGCGCCAAGAGGTTATCCAGAGGAGCTAGTGTCTAAGCCAGCATTGTAGAAGGCGAAGGCCCCTGAGATATCCAGTTCAACTGCATCATTTTGTAAGGGATAGAATTGTAGCCTAGAGAGAAGGAACTTGTCTAAGGCCTCACAACTCCTTTTTGGCAAAATTGCGACAGAACTGGGGCTCCTTTTTGGCAGATTTTGTTTGTTTGCTTCATTTTACTCGTACAGTTTTATTTTTGTTTGGATTCAAGCAACAAAAGCCCACAAAACCAGCTTAAGGAAAAGAAATTTTTTGAAACTGCAAGATCAGCTCCAGGACTTGGGTTACTAGGAATCATGGGGAACTAGAACTGGGGTCTGGAAAGTCATTAAAAATCAGTACTGCTGTGTTCTGTTTCACTTTCAACAGAGGTGACCTGTTGTCAGACTGGTTTGGATTTGTTCGTCAGATGTCTACAGTTTGGTAGGCAGTCTAAAGCGTGCATCAGAATTACCCAAAAGGGCTTGTAAAAATGCTGATTCCTGAGCCCCGTCCCAGAGTTTCTAACATGTCTTGGGATGGATCTTGGGAAGTTGCATTTCTAACAAGTTCCCAGGTGATGCTGGAGCATCCCACTTTGAGAGCCCCTAGTTGAAAGAATCCGGAATTTGAATTTGAATTCAGTTCATCTTACTTCTGTCATCCTGCCTGACTCATTTGAGTGTGGGAGCCCTGCCTAGTGCATCTCTTCCCGTGACTGCTTTATTCTCCCCCTACAGACCAGCTTCCTTTTCTGTACTCACAAGGCCCATAAGGACTTCTTAGAATGGTGTCCTCAACCCCCTGAGGGAGCAATGCTTCACAAATGCACAACTCTCAGGTGGTTAGGGAAGGACAGGGCCATGAAAACATGGTTACAAAAGTGTACTTCTTAGGACTGGGGAAGCAGTTCAGGCAACTCAATCACATGACATCTATCACACAGTGTTTCTTGGAGCACAGGTATCCAACAAAATGCCAATAACTTGTGTAGTAGAAAGACCTATACCCATAGTTGAACAAGTGTGGAAAATAATGGGACAAATGAAGTTGAATAGTTGCTTTGTTTATCTGTAAATAGTATGTGACTCTCTGAAATGGTGATGAGAATACAACTCTTTCTTTTCTTTTTTTTTGGAGACGGAGTCTCGCTCTGTCGCCCAGGCTGGAGTGCAGTGGTGTGATCTCTGCTCACTGCAAGCTTCGCCTCCCGGGTTCACGCCATTCTCCTGCGTCAGCCCCCAGAGTAGCTGGGACTGCAGGCACCCGCCACCACGCCCAGCTAATTTATTTATTTTTTTTTAGTACAGACGTGGTTTCACCATGTTAGCAAGGATGGTCTCCATCTCCTGACCTCGTGATCCACCCGCCTCAGCCTCCCAAAGTGTTGGGATTATGGGCGTGAGCCACTGTGACTGGCCAACTTTTTCTGTTCTTAACAGAGCATCTCCTAGGCATAAGGCATTGGTCTAAAACCTGAAAAATGCAATGGTGAAAAAGCAGACACAGCACCTAATTTAATAAGGTTTATGTTCTGGTGGGAGAAAGACACGAAATGTCAATTATACAGTGAATTGGTACAACTATAAATGTTATGAAGAGTTGAGGCTATTAGGACATTAATTGCAATTTAATAGGAAAATAGAGATTAATTGCTAAATGTTCTAATCTAATGGCCTCGACTCGTCATAACACTAAATGTTAAATGTTTAGCATTTAGACAATGTGAGGTAGTCTGGGGGAATAGCAGTGTCTTTTTGATATGCTACATTTTAGCTGTGATCTAAATGATGAATGGGAGCTATACTAGGAAGAGGAGTGCAGAAAATGACATGTACAAAAGCCCTGAGTGTAGCATATTCAAGGAACTTGAAGAAGGCCACTGCAATGGGAAGGCAAACAACCACAGAGAATGTGACATAAGATGAATATGAAGACATGGGCAGGGGGAATGCTCATTCAAGTAGAATTATACAGATGAAAAACCTTTGATGGGCTTTAATCGGGGGAGTGATACGAACAGATTTTCATTTAAAAGGACTACTCTGGCTATAGAGTAGAGTATGCATTGTAGGGTACAAGCAAGTAAGGTAGGAGACCCCAGTCACAGTTGTCAAGTTAAGAGAAGAAGGTACGTTTGACTAGAGTGGTAGAGATAGAGACAAGGAGAAGTGGAAAAATTGGAGAAAGATTTAGTAAGTCAATGGAATTTGACTCAGTCTGTGCTGGAGAGTCATGGTGAGTAGATGGCAATCAAAGCATGGGCTCAAGGAGCTGGTGTTTGGGAAACATACTTCAGGAGCTCATTGTGTAGTGTCCTTACCCTGATACTTCTTAAAGAAATACCCAAACATCCTAATTCCTCTACATATGACTCCACTGATCCAAGACACCACTTGAGCCCCACTACAGCCTTTCCTTAAATTAATTCTCTGGACTCATTTCCCATTTTTACTGCCACCCTTCACTTTCCTAATAACCCTGCACTTTGGCTATATCAAACTCATCGTTCTGAAATACTGCTCTTCTGTTTAAAATTTCTTTCTCAGCACCAACCTCCAATATGTTTTTTACTGGAAAACTGCTGTGCATCATTTAAAGCCCAGAACAATTTGATTACCTTCCCTCTGAAGTCTTTCCCAGCTTTCCTAAAGGAAGTAATTCCTTGTCTGTCCTCTCACAGAACCAGGTTTACACTTAGTGTGTGAGCCTAATGTAAACTCCACCAAGGTGGGGATTTTCTGTCTTCTTTTGTAGCACTGTAAACAGTACCTGACCACCTCTAATTTGGTATACATATCCTAAGTTATAATACTTTGCTTAGTGTTCTCACCCTGTTTTTAGGAAAGCGAAACTCTCTGAAGACAAGGACTATGTCTTATTCCTTCTAATAATCAGCATTTAGCACAGGTCCTGGCAGCCAGGACTCAGTAGGCCCTCCATACATTTATATTTAATGAATACATTTTAGGGCAGAAAGGTCAAGATTTCTGTTGATCTCTTTGTATAGCCATGTACCTTTCAGAGCTCTGATGTGCCCATGTGACCTCGTGCCCTTGGCTTCCCTGGATTTTGAAAAGGGGATCTCCAGTACTCAGTACCTCTGGAACTTGGACTTTCTGATTTACCCTCAGTTGAACTGCATGTGCCCGACTCCCTCTTCCACTCTATCAAGCAGGAACTCTCTGTCAAGGTAGTTGCATGTAATTTTGCCTTGATGTTAGGTGGGAACATAACATTGAACACAGCCATTCAAGGAGTCAAAGAACGAGTTGGGGCTCGGCATAGTAGCTTACACCTATAACCCCAGCACTTTGGAAGGCTGAGGCGGGAGGATCATTTGAGCCCAGGAGTTCCAGACCAGCCTGGGCAATATCGTGTATCGCCTTGCAAAAAATTTCTTTAAAAAAATTAGTTGAGCATGGTGGTGCATGC